CCGCGTGAACAGGAAGCCCCCCCACCCGATCTGCATGCCCGTCGCTCTTCGAACTTTCCAGATCTGTTGGTTCGTGGAGATAACCGACCGTGCGGGGATTGATTGACTCACATGGCATGGATTTAAATTAAAGTTCAAGAACGCAGAAAAGGGAGGCGAGAAAATAAATGAACACAGGCGTACCACAGAGTACAAGTTGAGGCGGCCACGCAAGGTGGACAAAAAGGGCTAAAATGGGGTGCAGAAGCCGAATTTTGATGTTGACTAATTTTGAAATCAAATGCAAGAGCACCGGAAAATTGCACAACAGACACACCAGACCAGTGGGAAGGCAGCGCGAAAAACAGAAATCGTTGATTCTCGCACAGGGCGGCAGTAGAGGCTGCTCAAAACATACATTTCACGCATCTACCTCCGCACGCCTCCTTTGAAATCAAGTTAAAAATTACTTCACACCATTCTAAATTCTGTTCATAGAGCCAACACGGAAGGCGCTCAAACAGGGTCGACTTTGAGTGTTTGGTGTCGCATATATTGTCATCAGTAGAGGACATCATGAAGGTGCGTCGTGCGTGCTGGCACGTTCAGGTTTGCTACTGGAGCTGAAATATCGAAGGTCGCAGCAGCCTGTGAAAACAGTCCGAAATCTGCGCCGGAACCAAGCGGCATCCAACATTTGTCACAGCCGTGCTCGCCGCCACTGGCTCCAATCCACTGAACTGCGGGTTTACAGCAGTAGCTGATACCACTACTGCTGACGACCCGTGGTTCAGGGGTTTAGTGTCCGTCTGTGACAAATGTTGGATGCCGCTTGGTTCCGGCGCCGATTTCGGACAGTTTTCAGAGGCTGCTGCGACCTTCGATATTTCAGCTCCAGCAGCAAACCTGAACGTACCAGCACGCACGACGCCTCTTCATGGTGTCCTCCACAGATGACAATAGAATGCGAAACCTAGCCCTGGCGGGAAGGTTGTTTTCTTTCTTTGTATAGGATTAAAGTATGGGAAAAAGAGCCAGCGTCACAACCCCTTTTCTGCACCTCCTTAACGACTTGACAAAGGCAACCACACAAAAATATGTTCGCAAACTACTGCTCATATATATGTACAATATGAAGGAGAACGTTAATGTGCTGTGACCACGGATGTCGGAAGGTATGGTAGGTACTGAGCAGAGATCGAAGACAACAACAGATCGAAATTTCGGCCAGCAGGACTTAAAAAAACAATCGAAAATAACAACTTCTCCGAAACGCTTTCATTAAACATTAACGTCGACCTCTAGCCTCGAAACAAGCTGGCACAATTGTCGTCACCAGAGAAAGTCAAGAGAGGGGGCCAGCTACAGTACGCTTGACACGTGCCACACAAGTACCACATACGTTTCACATAACAAGTACTGCACCCATCGCGCCACGGGGGCTCCCTGTATCACCTGGATGAGTACCCCCACGCCGGCGGGAACCGTCACCAGCAAGGACGCGTCCTCTTCGATGAGCGACAGCAAGATCACCGTCTGAAAGAAGACCTCCATGAAGAGGGTCCGCACGGACAGCCCCCTGAGACTCTTGTTTCGCCGCCAGAAGTCCACGTCCGACTTGAACGCCAAGAACTGCTCTCTCGCGTCGGCAGGCAGGGTTCGTGTGCCATGGGCACGTTCCGTTCCGTTGGTAGGGTGAGACGAGGGAGTACGGAAACAAAGGCCCCGGGGGGTAAGGAAGGATAGGGAGAGAGGTGGGGGATGAGGAAAAGGGCAATACACAAGGGAGGGAGGTGCACAGAAGGGAGAAGATGGAGGTCGACGCTGCGGGACAGGAGAGCGAGAGGTGAAACGGACTGCCAAAGCGATGCCATCCCACAGCAGCGGTACGCAAAACGCGTAGGCACCAAAACAGAGGCAGCACCAAGACAAAGGACACACCGCAAGAGAGACTGCGCTGCGGGCCAGAGTTAAAACAGTCAACGGGCAGGACAGACAGACAAGGCTGCCCTACGTACCTCGAACAACAGGTGGAGGGTGGACGCGAAGAGCGTGACGATGAGCAGGTAAACGTTGGTGTCGCTAATCAACCGGCGGACGTCGTCGACGTCCGAGTCCTGGAAGCCGAAGCTTTCCTTCTGCTGCTGCAGAGAGTGCTCCATGCTCTGCGTTCCGAGGTTTCAAGGTTCGTGAGGGAGACAGGGCGAGGCGAAGCGTTCCAGGGGGTCAAGAGGTACACAGCGCCCGCCCGCTATACAATACTAAAAAATCCGATTAATTACCAAGGCTCGAGCTCTTACAGCGGTGCCTCGACAAAAGAGGCGTGCGCACCTGCATGAGCTGCCAGCGCTGCAGGGACATGGGCTCGATGGTAACCTTAAGGGGTAGCGAGGAGAGGGTCCTGTTGAGGGGCACGTACTTGTCGGACGTGAGGCCTATCTCGTCCACGTGCACGATCGGCTTGTACGCCTTTTTCCCGTCAAGGGGCATAAATCAGACAAGACGGTGGCAGCGGCGGCGACCGGCGGAGGGGAGGAGACCAGCGGGATGGCGGCGGCGGCGAAAGTTCGGGGAAGATTATGGCGCGTTCTCGTGTCATTGGACCCAAAAACACGGTACCCAAAATTTCCTATCTGAGGGGCCGCCGAACAGTGAGAGCATAATCCTAACGCAGGGTGCGGCTAGGTTTTTTCGTTTTCGACAGGCTGACATATGTTATGTTGTCTTTCTCTCGCGTCTCCGCCCATCCTCGGGCGCATGTTACGCCTAAACAGCAGCAGACCCTCATGTATGCGTACCATGTGTGAGCGACAAAACGTGCTTCACGGATGCACCGACCCCGGATTTTCTTTGATTTGATCGTAAATACTTTCACCAATCTCTCTCGTGTACACGTGTACACCCAACCTCGATCCAGCGTACGTACGTAGGTCGACGATAGATCCACCCTTCACCCAAACGCTCATCCATTCCCAACCACATTGGTGGCGACACATTTTTCAACATTGATCACAGCACTGGTACGTGGGACCTCCGCAAAGCTCACCAGGCTGTCCCAGGCGCCATTGGCCCACTGGCCGTCCTTGGTCAAGCCGATGATCTCGGCCGCTCGCTGAATAGTCTGGGGAAGGTAGTTGTGCGGGTACTCCGTGAAGTCCGCCACGACTCGAACAGCCACCTAAAGTAAACACGAACGGATTCGTCGTAACGAGCTCGTGGATTGAAAGAGGTTGCGAGGCAAGGGAATTATACCTTGTGTTCTCGAAGGGGAAAGGGTGCTTGTCTTAAAAATAGTGTACCCGGTATTGTTGAGGCCACGGGTCTGTTCAAAGAGACGAGAATGGTCGTGGAAACAGCACTACCACCGCCGCTACTGCACCACCAAAAAGGCCAACACAGCCATCATACCAAAACAGCAACAACACCTCCCGGCAACAAGCACAACCGTCAACAGTAAGCAAGTACCACAAGAAAACCAGAAAACGGACCTAAACTCGCCCATACACCCACCCACTCACCTCCGGCTTCCAAAAGGATATATATTCTCCCTTCCTCGACGACGCTCTAGAAGAAGACCCGCCCCCGCCCCCGCCCCGGCTATCTGACTCCAAGCTGCCGTTACCGCCGCCGCCGCCCCCGATGCCAAGGTCGCCGAGGAGAAACCTCATACCCCTCGTTTTCGTCGCCGGTCCGAACTTCACGAGAGGAACCGAGTCCAGCAGGGTCCACAGCTGCCGGTCCTCCGGCACCGCCTGGGTCTGCGGCGGTCTTTGTTTGCCGTTCCGTACCACCGTGTGCGAAGACGACATCGAGTTCCGAGACAACATCGAGTTCGAGTTCGAGGGCATCAGCGAGTTCGAAGGTATCATAGAGAGAGTTCCAAAGACACGGGCAAGTGGGAAGAAGGGGGAAATATCGAAGCGCAGCCAGAGAAAGAGAGAAAAGGATGGAGGTCGTTTTATCTATAAATGGGCCAGACAAGCGAAGAACCTCCTCCAAAACGGGACAGGTCTGATACCCGCAGTGTTCGGTCCATAGACGGCACTTCGATGTCTTTGCCGCGGACAGACGGAGCGTTGCTACGCAACATCCAAGAGAAGGTACCGCGACATGCGCACTGTCGGAACACGAACAACAACTCGACAAACAAGTGTTCATCGTGTGAAGCAACAAACAACGGCCGAATCAGCTACGTAGGCCGCCCGTGGTTGGCATGAAGCGGCGGCGGCGGCCGCAGCAGCAGCAGATACGACATCACTCACTCCGCCTCGAGGATGACGTGGAAGTACATGGTCTTGTTGGACATCAAGCCGTTCCAATCTTGGCTGTCGAGCTGCCATGCAACGCGCAAGCGGCAGAGACGACAGACAGAACGAACGGACGAACGGGAGATGTGATGCGATGCGCGCGTGGGTTGGGGTGTCAAAACGATCCTGCTCCCTCCCGCAATAAAAGGCAACCACCACCACCACCACCACCACTACCACCTGTGCCGATCAATTCGCAGACATCGCCGCCTGCTACCTTGAACTTACGTTGCTACTGCTAGATTTACGCTCCTGTTATTTGTTATTTACCACTCGAGAGTCTGTTGGGGAAGAAGGAGGCGCCCTCTCACCATAGTCGTGTTGGGCCACGTCTCGTCCGCTCCCGCAGCCAAAGCGGTCAAGTTCAAATCGAACGAGTGACGAGTCATGTCGTGGTCAAACGTTAAACCCTCCGCCCTGCGTGTTGTTTGTTCCGTTCGGTGGCACCATGCCGTTTCGTGATGCGCCGTTTCGCGTTTGGGTGCCGTTTCGAGTTGTCGTGGCGTTTCGTGATGTGCCCGTCCGGCACGGCGGTGTCCCCAGAAGCAGTTTGAGTGTGCGTGTGATAGAAACGGCACCGACAAAGAGCAGGGGGCAGGGAGCAGGTTACAAGAGCGTGGAAATACTGTTGTTAGCTGTTGCTGCTGTTGCTGCTGTTTTGGTTGTTGCTGATGCTGTCGGTCGTGAGAGTAGCTGTGGTCGTAGTGCTCTTGTGGTTGCAGCGTAGGTATAGGCGCGGCAGCTTGCTAACTCGATTACCAGATCGGTGCGAGACTCAGTATCAGGCAAGAGCATGGATGACGATGCGCCAACAACAAACCTCTCTTCTTCTGCCAACCCTACGGACAATCAACCAACAACAACAAAGCGCACCAGTTTGGTTCCATAAATAAACTCAGTTGTTCCAGCGGTTGTGGCTCTGTGGTGGTTGGTGACGTAGCAAAATAGACACAGCAGTAGTATATATGCCGAATACAGACGATTGGGGCGATCAGTAAAGCAATAGCACGGTACTGCCTTCTGTAGTTGTGGAATTTGTAATTGCTGTCACTTGTCACCTTCCAACGAGAGGTACCCTGTCTGCCGATGGGCTCGATCGATCTAGAAACGACTGGCGAAACGTTTTGCTGGCGGCGAGGTAGCACGTTGCAGTCATCTGTGGCGGAACAAAACACGCATCGAGAGCGAGAGAGAGGAGCGAACAAAGAACGAAATAACAAAAAGAAGAAAGAAGGGACAAGGAAAACAACTGAGACCGCGAGATAGGTTACAATTCAGCGTTTGCTCTCCAATAGGAGTACTCGGGATTACAAGCCAGCAAAGCAAGAAATCCAGCAAGTTTCGGCAGGAGAAGAGCTCTAGAATTGGGCCCAACCAACCATCTCCGCCCTACATTAAGACAGGAGTCGAGAACTCCCCCGCCCTTTGTGCCCCGACGGGGGCAGGCGGTCCAGCAGCATCAAAAGTGCGGCAGAATTGGAAGGGTAAAGCAACGAATGCAGACTGAGAGTACCCACGAGCGTAGACAAAGCCCTTTCGCTTCACCCTGCCGTCTCCGGTCCCGTTGCCATTTCATTGCGTGCGTAGTACGATATGTTTTATGCATAAATGCCGGTGTGGTCCTCTCTTCACCACTCTCGGATCGATCTACTGCAGACACAATCTTAGTCGTTAATTCTTCGTCTATTGTCTTCAAATTTCGTGTTGAGTTGTTATTGCAACCAAGCGACCCCGATCTCGGGTGACAATTTCTGCCCCCCCACCCCCCCACCCCAAGGCCCCCGATCCCCCCTCCTGCGGTGCTTTCCTAAACAATGGTTGAAGAACACCATAGCAAACACAGCATCGATCATGATAGTTTTAGGTCAGCCGTGCTCGCCTTTGTCCCCTCGCTCCAGAGCGGTTTGATGGTCGGCGCTCCCGGCTCTATGACCGCGTGCCTCATTGGGTTCATGACCCCGTGCATGTTGTACGCCACGTAGACCACGTATACCCCGAAGAGGGTCGTCTGCCGATTTAAACACCCATCATACCAAAAGGGCACGGCATAGAGGGAGCACGAGCTGGTTAGTTCGGGCACAAAGTTGTGCACACACACACCCCAAAAGGTTTGGCGGTGTGCCAATAACACGTTAAGGCTTTACTGATCCTCCTCCTAACGTAACTACTTCAGCAGTAACGTTAGAGTACCAAAATGAGTAGATAGGACCGTACGGATTGAGTACCTTACCATACGAGTTGAGTACTTGTGAAATCGGCAAAACGGTAATTTATAGGCTGCGGTTAAGCGTATGCGTGTATCATCTTCACTTTTCACTTCCTTAGTGAAAGCAACCCGATCATCTCAACTTGTTCCTCGACTGCTGTGATTCACCCACAAAGAGCAGCGGAGCCCCGATGACAAACTCAACATGAATGCCGTTGCGGCACTGAACCTCACGCGCGAAGGAGCAGGGGACTCCGAGCGAGTAATTGTATCGCGGTGCGACAACTCCGATATAAATACGGAAATGAAACGTACATAATCTGGCTCTTGATTGTACAGAAGTCGTCCCTTGTCTCGAAAACTGTCCCTAAAGCGACGACAACGACTGACTGTAACCGCGCTCCGATGCAATGGTAACTCCGATGGGTGCCGTCACTCGCACAATAACGCCAACAGTTGGCCATTAGTTACTCCTTTCGGTTGCAAATTGACCATAAATTAGTACTTTCAGTTGAAGAGGTGTGCGGCACGCTATGGGTATGAACGCCATGATATCAAACCGACACCTTCGCCGGCATAGCCTCTGCCAAGAAACGAGCGACGAAGCAGCCGCAGCCTCAGCCGCCGCCGCCGCCGGCACGCAAGGCGGAGATACATGCACGCACGAGTCACGCAGCAAGACTTTCTTGCGGCGCTTTCGTGCACGAGATAAATAGGCCCAATCTCCGGTAGGCTTACTCGTCAAAATGAGTCCGTTACACCACGCGACAAGGTGTTCTGAGCTCGCTCTTTGCGGTCCAGCAGTCTGCGTTACATCAGCTGCTACAGGCTCAGCGTGCTGAATTTCTTGAATACTCAATAGGTTCAAATGAATGATCAGGCAGTTGACACTTTGTGCCTACATAGCACGGTACGCATACGTTGCACAACGCCACAACGGCATCGTCCAGCGGCGTCCGTTGTGCCGACACGTCGTGCCATCCAGCCATGTGCCGCTCTTGCCGGCATCGAGAATCCCATCAACCACACACGCCGACGAAACGCAGCCCGATGGCAGGCGAGAACCAATCAATATCGTGGCACATCCATCGAACATCACTTCTCCTACTCTCTCCGGCTTGCACGTGCGGACGATGTGCATTGGGTGCATGCCAGAGTCGAGGCCGGCGGTTGCACCCAGCCGGAGCAACACGTGAGATGTCAGCTAACAATCCGCAAGGGAAGCTTAGAATAGCCACTCTTTACGTCAAAACCACATGAAGTCCACCAAGATCACCAAGTGGCTTAAGCTGATCTGATTTCAAGGAAACAGAAACAATCACGCTTCGAGGATGTGCCACCTGCACTACTGCTGTGTAATATAATCTCTTTCCTAATAATCGTCTGGTCCTTATATATCTTGCAGGCATGTGCGGCATGCGTGGAATATGTCGCTCCTCCGCACGTTGTGGAATGCACGACACTCACCGACAGGCAGGATACATTGAACAACCCTTTGAGTCGCCCACCCTTCTTGCGCTCCATGACTTCTGCGCCCATCACCGTCCTTCTTTCTCTCTCTTTGCCCGAGGCGCCGATGCGTGGAGTGTGGAGTGAGTGCAGTGTGCGGCGCAATTAAAATGGTGGAGTTCCACAACGTGACGAGGCGTTACGCGACGTTTCGTTTTTTACATGCAGACTGTTCGTCTTCGACTGCTGTGTCGGTAGAGAAAGAAAAGACCTGCTCGTATTCGGGGATCCGAAACAGCGCGCGTACAAGGCAGCCTCAATCTGCTACCCCCTGCAAATACCGTGTGATGTACAAGGTGTTGCTTGGACAGGGTAAGGAAGGACGCGTCAGAACCCCATCGACGGAGGGAGAGCCTCAAACATATGTCGTCAACTATCGTCCATGGCAAACAAACAACACCGCCGCCCGGCTTCTCTAAAGGCGGGCATGGGGAGCACTCAACGAGCTACGCAATACACGCGCAGCCGCAGCCTCCCGTTCACCCTCCTGCAGCAGCATCTTCCGCCGCAGTAGGGGTCACGAACCACCCAGTAGCAGGAGCAGGCGACAAGCGTTTCACGACAGCGTACGGGAATGTTGTGTGGCCGACTCTACCGGGGCTGTCTTCGTCGCCAGAGTCGGCCCCGATGGCTGAGTCCGGCACAGCGACGAGGCCTGGTTCCGCAAGCCTTGTTCACCATCATCTTTCAAGCGCCACTGCAGCTGCCCCTAAGACAGCCCAGACCCTGATTCCGGCCACGACGGGAATGATGGCAGAGCATCCGAGTGGCCCCCGCTGTAGTGGACCTTTGGTAGGTTTGCATGCACGTGTTTCCGGCGCATGCTTTCATTGATGTCAACGAATATCGGACGCTCTGCGTGCTCTTGCTCTAAGCTACGTGTTCTTCCGTTTCACGTGTTTTGATTATATTTCTGTGCTATCATGTTTCCTCCGGGGGCGGTATGACCAACCCTAAAACACCACTGGCAATATACCGTGTATTTGCCGACACCGATGGGAAGGCGAACGTACTGGAGACAGTTGCACAAAACAATGTCCCTTGCCGATTGAACGTTGACGTTCGCGTGGGGCAAAAGTACCGCTCACTTTTTTTAACATCGCGTGAGTGTCTACTCGCAAGTGGTCGACCGAAGCTCATCGTGTTGCAAACGTATAGATCATCCCGCTCCACTCTTCATGCCGTATGCAGTGCTACCCATGTGATATGCGTGCTGCCGCTTCGAGTGAAGAAATTGGCTAATCTCCAACGGGGTCGGTTGTTCGTTGCTTACCATTGAATAAGATGCCCGTCTGTCAGAATTTGGGAGAATGTGTGTTACCTAGTGAATAGTAAACGCCGTCAAATACGACCCGAGCTTCCACGAGAAACGCATTTCTATCAGGCCATGAACCGAAGTGTAGGGCTACCGAGCCAACGCAGAAGTACACGGCGCAAGGCCGCCACGATGCATATTTTTCCCAGGTCAGCAGCAAGACAGTGCTCTTGGAAGTCATACTTTCATTGCCAGCACCCTCCCCTCGTTCTTCCTATCTCACCCCCCCCCTTCGCCCCTTCGCCCCGTCCCCGCACCCCATATCGTACTCCACGCGACTGATTGCTCTTGTGAGTCTAGTACTCCACCAGCAGCACGATGCTCCTTCGTTCTGCCTGCGATGCATGCCATCGAATGAA